GAAATTCCCGATTTTATATTCTTATCCGGTATGCGGTTTGAGCTGAAGTAACTTCCTCATACACCAATACAACTCTTCTCTTGGTACTCTGTCATATGCCTTCTCCAAATCTATGAAATACCATGCAGGTCTTTCCGTCCCTCTCTGTACTTTTCTTGTAGTTGCCTCAAAGCAAAGATTGCGTCAACAGTCGACCTGCCCCTCATGAAATCAAACTGCTCCTCAATAATCTTCACGATGTTCGTCCATCTGTTCTCAATCACTCTCTCCATCAGCTTCATCGTGTGGCTCATCAGTTTTATACCTCTTTAGTTTCCACAGTTCAATATGTCACCTTTGTTCTTATAGATTGGTACCAATGTGCTCTTTCGCCATTCTTCCGGTATCCTCTCCTCTTCCATGATCTTGCCCAATGCATGTGTCAGATATTGCACTTCAGTTTTTCCCAAACACTTCCAAACTTCCACTGGGATGTTATCAGGCCCAACTGCCTTGCCGTTCTTCATCTTTGCTATTGCCTTTTGTACTTCTTCCTCTGCGATGTTCTCAATGTCATTCTCATAATGCTGTTGTTGACCAGTCCTTGCAACTCTTGGATTTTCTTCTTTCATTAATTTCTTAAAATATTCCTGCCAACTCGCCAAGATCTTATCATCTATAGATAGTACCTCTCCTTCCTCACTCTTGATCAGCTTTGCTTGATAGACATCTTTCGAGTTCTTGTTTCTCTCTTTTGCCAAGCGTAATACTTTCTTTTGTCCTTCTATAGTTCCCTAGTCTTCATACAATCCCTCATATGCTCTCTTCCTAGCAATGGCTACTGCTTACTTTTCCTCTTTCTTCCTAGCCTTGTACATTGTTCTGTCCTCACTGTTGGTTTCATCGAATGCTTTATTTGCCATCTTCTTTGCCTGGTTACATCGCTGGACATAGTCACCCAACCACCATGTCTCCTTTCCCGGCTTTGACCTACCAGTTGTTCTTCCCAGCACCTCCTCTCCTACTGCTCTTATGTCTGTGGCTACATTTCCCATTTGTCACCTCCATCTCTTTTCTACTTTGTTTACTACTAAACCTAGTACGTTCGTCTACAACTAAACGTAATATATACAGTACTAAACGTCGGCTCACAAAAATATGCTCCCTGGACATGAATCTCAAATTTTGCATTTTTCCTGAACACACCGTCTCGGTAGGCACCTCCATGCCAAGTTTCAGGTTTCCATGTCTTTCCGTATTACTCATGCAAAAATAATGTTATGGTGGGGAATGAGTGAATGGAAGGCATAAAAAGCCAAATGAAAGCCAAGAAATGGCCGGGAATTGAACCCAGATCTCAGGATTGCACTTAGACATGCTACTACTAAACCACCGAACCCAGGACATCCAGATGATTCTCTGAATGCCAACCTCATCTGTCACAAAATATATCTAAGGAAAGGGCATGCACCTCCAAAGTCGGATTTTTCCTGAGCTCTGCATCCCAAATGGTACATGTGTGCCAAGTTTCAGATTTCTAACCTTTCTAGAACATGGTTAGAATTAGTGTCAGTCAGTCACGATATATATTAGATGTATGGGTTTTTCATCGTTGGGGCCAGCTGCGTGAAAAAGGGATGGGAATTTGGACAGGTGAGGAATTCACCCTATAAGTTCAATGGCTCTGACGCTGCCATTGGGTTAGCTGAATTGCAACGATGGCAAGTATACTCATTGAATGTGTGGGAAGAATAGAAATGCTCCGGTTGAGTATAAAATTGTATTAGCCCTTACTTTCTCTCTTTACAGTTCAGATAACTCGCTGAACTCGCGATAACACTCCCTGTGGAGTTGCCAAATAGAAAGTGACCAAACGGCGGTATTGCACATGAAAGAAGCTGCCAGGAGGCTTGGATGGCTAGGGCAGGATGAGAACATGATTGAATTGAATGTCTATGTCAAGATGGATCAAAATAGAAGAAAGGCTAGAGTGTTTCTTTAAAAGGAACATTTGCGTAGCCATACCGGGACACGGAAAGCTACAAGAATGGTACAAGATGTATGTTTTCAAATGGTGTATCCTAATCATATAATGGAGTGCTGTCATCAGGTCACGTGTCTCCATGCTCACTCAAGCAAAAATTAGGAATTGGGTCGGTCTCACAATTTTTTCCTAGTGGGAGGCTAATTTTGAAGCATGCTATCTGGAGCATGTTTCTGACATTATCGTCGGATCCTTCGCGGAATCTCGAGTACCCGTCCTATCAAGACTCACGTCACATGTATCGTTTTCCTTCCACTCGAACTAGGTATGTCGCTCCAGTGCTGTCCTCCTATATAGTGGCAGACAAGCGAGACAGTGGCTCTTGTGACAATTTTGGAAATCGTGTAATGTTGCCAGGTGCCTATTAGGTTATGAGGAAGTTACTTCAGCTCAAACCGCATACCGGATAAGAATATAAAATCGGGAATTTCGGCTCAGCTGAATTCCTTTTTAGAGTCACTGTTTGAATCAATCAGAATCAATGAGAGATGTGAGTCAAAATTCGATTCTTGTTCACACACGCGAGAAAAAGATCTTTATTAAATTAGACTGTGTTGAGTCTCGTCCACTCAGTCACGTATGTATATATATACTGTATATATATTAGATGTATGGGTTTTTCATAGTTGGTCAGCTGCGTGAAAAAGGTATGGCAATTTTAACAGTCCATAAGTTCAATGGCTCTGACGCTGCCATTGGGTTAACTGTTGCAACGATGCCAAGTATACTCCTTGAATATGTGGAAAGTATAGCAATTTTCCGGTTGAGTATAATATCCTATTACCCCTTACTTTTCCCTTTACAGTTCAGATAACTCGCAGAAATCGCGATAATACTCTCTGTGGAGTTGCCAAATACAAAGTGTCAAAACGGAGGTATTGCACATCAGAGAAGCTGAAAGAAGTCGGACACATTGCATTTGCACTCATCTCCCCATCAATTTTGCGTAAAATGTCACATCGGACATGGTGGCGCATTACTCTGATCTATGAACATGGTTGTCCCCGCACTGACGTACTTGACAAGTGATCATTATGCTGTGAATAACCTTGCATATACATTTAAGATATTCCTTCTAAGTCATACCTTTCCGGTAATCCATGACTATTCTAGTTGTTTTAATTAAATGGTTTTGAAAAAAGGCCCGGGAACAATCGTGTGCATATGATTTAGGAATGTAGCATTCCCTATGGGGACTGAATAGTTTTAGAAAGTAGATCGTCGCCCATGTGTACGCCTGCCCATATTGGAAAAAAAAATCCAGTTGAACGATAAGATGTCCCCCCCACGAAGCAAGAGCTGCACGGCCTATCAGCATTTCATATCAGTAAATAACAGATGTATCCCTTCTCATACGGTTCATTTCTCTCCAACATTCATCCGCTTAATACCATATTTGTAGTATGGTGCTGGCTATCTACGTTGAAATGGAGAGGAAATTCCTCCCCCTCCCCATTGCCCGTCGGTAGGGAACCCAGTGTGACTCCTTTCCGGTGAGGCGCCGATGAGCCTCGTGAGCTACGTCCATGTCGATCCTCAGGAACCTGCGTGAGCGGAACAACGTTCAGGAGTTCCCCATCCAACGTCACATGTGCCACACAGTTTTCGTTCTCTCCCCCTTAAGAAATGGCAGAGAAACAAGGGTATCCTGCATTTCTCTTCTTCCATGAATTCGCACACTGCAATTTCTTGGAGCTGATGGGCGGAAAATGTGAGTGGAATTTGAGTTTTTTGCTTTCATTTATATACAACGATTACATGCACGATTACTATGGAGTTAGTTATGCTTTTGAACCGACCGTAATTCGATAAATCGGTAACATAGGCCTGCTAATTCAGTTCATATGCTAATGCGACGATGGGAACGGCGATTCCGGGGTAGATACCCCTCAGGGGTGGCAATTTTACATCTAATTTGCATATGGCTTTTTTATTTAAAAACAGGAACAAACCAGCCGGCATTCCTTCTACCTTCAGAAATATTTATTGACAGGTTATCACTGAACGGATGGACTGCTACCGTCGAATACTATTGAATGCTATTGAATTGAATGTTGAATGTCTATGTCGAACCATAGCAATGGTTGGGCACTGATGTAAAATCATTTCTTCGTGAAAGCACATAATACCTGCTCATTATGAAGATCTCTCCTTACTACTAAGGTTGATTCTCTTTTCAGGGAAGGGAAATAAAACCGCATGTGTTTATTCTTCCTACACCCGAAAAATTAAGAATATTAATGGTAATTATGAAATTTGTAAACGTTCTCCTGAAGAAAGTAATATGTCTAATCGGAAAACGATGGCAAAATTGTGTCGAGAGCTACGTTTACAACCGAACCTATAACCGAATAAGGAATCGTAATGTGAGATTCCTATTTCATTATTCTTGGCTGGAATTAGAAAACTTGGGAGAAATGCTGAACATATGCGACAAATGGGAGCATGGTGGCAGGCGAATGATTCATCTCACTATATTCAAGCAGTTGTCATTGGACATTTTGGTTCATGAAGTCTCACACGGTTTCATGCACTATTTTGCTCTGCATAATTTTTAAAAGACTTTTATGTGACGATAGAGTGCCACGGCACCCCACGCCATGATTCTTAGTTCCACGTCCAATGTTTCTGAGTGTTTTTCCATTTTCCTCATGGAAAAGGGAGTGAATATAATTTCGTCGACCTTTTCCCTCCCTTTCCATCCCTTCTGGAAAAAAGACGATTCCGACTTCCATGAATGAAAGAAAATCCTTCACTCGAGGTAGCTTGGCTGTTGAGAAATAGGTTACGCGATTTATATTTATCATCATATCGATATTATTAAATATTGGGAAGTAAGGCACAATTTCAAACTATGCACATGGTCGAAGTTTCTACCAAAACGTGAAATCCTTTAACGTTAAAACTTTCATGAGTTTTCTAAAGCATGATTTCCAAGTCAGTCTTCAATTTCAATAGGCTCTCATATCAATGAAAGCAGATCATAAATATTGTTGACATTATTTTGTGGAAAAAATGATCACGCAATTTCCTTCTTTTTTTCTTGTTTTTCAGGTACTGTCCAGGATCCAGAGGTAGATGTTGCACATTTGCATTCGTCGTGGTCACAGCGGTGTTTTTCCTAATGCAATACGTTCCATTGCCAGAATGGTCAATGAAAGTGATGCTGCATTTTGGCGCGATTGGGAATATGACGGATACTTCCAACGAGACTCTGACGAAACTCATGCCCTCGACATCGGGGGAAGCCTTGCAGACGTTCCCACTATCTAGCGAACAGTGCAAAAACGCAACGTTCGTAACTGTGGGCAAGGGTGGAAGACTAGGGAACATGATCGCCGAATACGTCACGGGCTTCTCATATGGCCGGAAGTATGGGAAGATCCCCGTGCTCAACGAGAATCACCGAAATGCCCTGCTGCCCCTCTTCCCCCATCTCAGTTTGAGGACGGAGAAGGAGACGGGATGTTCCCCCAGGAACTGGAGCAGAGCAGTCGCTAGTTTCCCGAACGGAGCGATTCCCCCACCGTGGGACAACAGCACCTTCGTCCAAGGCAAGGACGTGTGCATCACTGGTTATTCGTGTGATGGGAAGCTTTTCCACGAATACAGGAAAGAGTGGATACTGGATTTTAGATTCGGATCGAAGCTGTTACGAGATGTGCACTCATACTTCACAACTCTGTTCGCTAAGTACAAAGGGAACACCACGTTTATCGGAATTCACGTTCGCCGTACGGATCAGGTGTTTCACAATCAAAAGTTATTCGGTGCAAAACCAGTGACGGCTGCATATTACCAGAGAGCTATGGCCCACTTCCGAAAGATTTTCTCCAATTCCGTTTTCATCGTGGCCACTGACGACATGAAATGGAGCAAGCAAAATATTAGGAATGTGAATGAAAGCATGGCAATTGAATTCGTGGAAGCGAAAGGTCGGGACTTCGACTTCGCGGTCCTCTCCCATTGCAATCACAGCATCGTGTCTGTCGGCTCTTTCGGCTTCTTCGCGGCTTATTTCGGGGGAGGTCTCGTCGTCGCCCCAAAGGTCGTTTCGAAGACACCGGTATTTATTGACTTCATCGTGTCCGAGATAGGGTTGGACAACTGGACCTTCGTGAAAAATGATTGAGGCGCGCGATGTGAGGCCCAAAACTCATTTGTATATGGATGAAATTAATTACATTCCTATGGGAAATTCGGTCAGCAAGAAATACTGAGTGTGATACGAAGATGCATATTTGCGTGGTTTCCCGAATCTTTCAAATGAAAACATATAAACCATGCACATGCATAATGAATCCATGCATGAATCCGTGAAAATAAATACTGCATCAAAACGACCAATCACAACTGCCTGAATATTGTGAGGTGACTCATTCGCTCAATCTGTGGTAAACATTTGTTACATATTTTCTTCCTCTTCCCATTTCCTAATTCCGACCAAGATGAATTACTTATTAACCGTACAGAGGATTAATTTGCAAGGGAGATGTATGGCAACTCTGGTAATGACGGAATTTGGCCAAAGTTACATAATCTTTTCACTGAAAAACCCCACCCCCATAAAGGATTATTAAAATCAGCCAAAGACTTGCAGAACGTGTCAGCATAGCATCCAACATGTTGGAGTAAACTGGATTTTTTTGTACGTCTCCAATCAACAAATGTTTTTTTTTTTTTTTAGGACTTTTCATCAACCGGCCTTCGCCCTGAAGAAACTCTTCGAATAGGGAAAGCAGATGAACACAATCTTATTTGTCGCCTAGTATCAACTTTTCACACGCCTGTTCATTGTGTGAATGTTCATTCTTGGGTAGCATATGCTGCCATGTTGGGTATTTTTACAGTTTATGGAACTTTTCTTGTAAGAATTGACCTCTTCGACACGATATACCCTCATTTAGGCACCAAACAAACCTTCATGTGGCTACATACCACTCTATTGGCATTTTGGAGACAGGAGTGGTGGTCATTTACAAATATACAAGAAATACGTAATTTGACGCGTCAAAGGAAAGTCTACCTATCGAAACTAGGTTCCTTGACCTAAAATGCCCTATTTAGACACCGTTATGCGATAACGGGTCAATCACTTTTCCAATGTTCAGGTGAGAGCATTCATTTCTAAATTCCACCGCCATCTTGCCTCCGCACTCTTAGAATTGAGCGCGACAGGTCGAAACTTGATCAGTAGGTCGTAAACTTCAGGTTGATGCATGTCGTCCATTATTGCACGTGGGGTGCGTTAAACTTCAATCTATAGCCCTTTACTTAGGTTCGCCGCAACCCTAATGAACTAATTTCCTTTGAAAGCTAAGATTCCTTTTTTTGCGAGGAAATGGAATTGTGGACATTCAACAACATTGAAGTTGCAACACTACCTGAGCAATCTAAAGGTCTGGGGTAAGCAACGATTCACTTGTTCAATTTTTAAAAATAATAAATAGGAAGTTACCATACAGTGACTATCCACCAGGACTATCATATATCAACTAATGATAACGCAACAATGTTATTTGATCATCTGTTGTTCACTATGTGCACCAAAGACCATTTTCATGAAAACAAATGGTCTATGGAAGTGCTCCCAAATATAATTTTGCTCACATTGTATCTCCCGGCGGTGCGCATATCACAGAATTGCATTTTGAGGGAGTGGCTGAATTGACTTCATTATAATCGAAGGGAGAGACTGTGTTTTTGACTTCGCTGTCCTTGCTCATTGGAATCTCAGCATCGCCTTCGTTGGGAGCACCTTTTTTTGGCTTTTATTGTCGTCTAAGCCTCATGGAAGCCGATGCACATTGACTTCGTCGTGTCCGGCATGAGATTATGCAATTGGAATTTTTATCAATAACAGTTGATTATGTGGATGAAGTTTATTGTGCCATGCCTCCTTGAAAGTCAATGAAGCTTTCGTTCTGCTGAATATTACAAGATTTTGCCAGAACTATCCTCAAAATGGAATCTATTCGTTTGTTATTTTTGCCAGGGTCTGAGTTTTTCAGGAAATTTTGAATAAAATTCAACAGGGTAATCTTCCTTGGTGTTCCGAATAACTCCACATAAGTGCAACTCATTTTTCTACCATTGGAAGGACAGCAAATTTAGTATTAAACTGAAAAGCATATGAAGCTGCTATCGTCATTCTGGAAAAAGTACATATTACTCGGAATCAATTTATGCTTACATTCAATCATGCAGGTGATTCCTGATGAAGATATAGAACAAAAATATGACTCCTTCCTCCTAATAATTCACATAATATTAGCATATCCTTAAGAATATCCACTTTCATGAAATTATGCTTTAAATTATGTAAATTAATTGACATATTATTGCAAAAGGCAATGTGATACCAGAATATAATTTATTCTCTGAAAATGGAATAGTTCCACTACCTACTGTGAAAGGTTTCGGTCAACATGGAAGTGTCTCAGTTGACTATCCGCCCTTTTAAAATAATAATAGTGCCTTTTCGCCCACTGGTTATAGTACTCGTAGAACATTTATCTGGGTGCATGTTAAAATCAATCGCACTTACTAGAGCACTTCAAAACGGGATAATGGGTGGAGGTGCTGTCGGGAGACATACATGGTTTTCCAGAAGTCACTTCCTTGCACATCCAGAGGAAAATGTAAACCCTTGAATCGCACTCACCAGGGAATGGTGTTCAATCCCCTGTTTGTACTGAATTAGGTTTTTTTTTTTAGAAAGTAATGTCGTTATCACATCAGTTTTCAAACACAACTTTTATTCAAAATTTCAGCAGTCTAATCAACATTGTAATTTCCATCCTCTGCAACGACTGTTTCCCATCTTCCTTTCAGCCTTTCAGCCTCTTTCATAAAAAATAGGCCTGTTTTGAAGTCAAAAACGTGGCGAGATCAGATTCGAGAGCCTCCTCATTGTTGTATTGTTTCCCCTTTCATTGGCCTTGAAGTGACAGAAACAAGAGATTCTCAAAAGGCGCCAGGTCCGGTAAATAAGGTGGATGTGGCAGAACTTCCCATTGAAGCTCGTTTATTTCTTTGGCAGTTTCTGAGACATGAGGCCGAGCGTTCTCGTGGAAGAGGATGACAGCGTTTCGATTGACCAAAGTGGGCAGCTTTTGAAGCATGGCTTGTTGCTAGTGGTCTAGCTGTTGAACACGCAGATCGGCTGTTGTCGTTTCATTCGATGAAGGCAGCTCAAAGCCGGACTGCACCTGAAGAAGATCATGTTGTGTGTTTGCTGAGGCGTGAAGGGCATTATCCACTTTGAGCTGTTTTCATCGAATCAAACGTTAACAGCCAATGTCTATGTTCAACAAGTGGACGTACCATAATTCAAGGTAGTCATAATACATGAAAATTCTCCATCAAATCACTGTCGAGCTCGCACCTAATATTTCGATAGCTTGAAGAGGGCTGTTAAGAGGGCTTTGCAGCAAGAAATTATATAGGCGAAACGGGTGGTAAAGGACAGGCAATCGCTTAATGCAGAAAACAATCTCAGGTTTCCCACCGATGCGAATCTCCGCATTCAATGCGGACGACACAGCAGAGTTAGTCTTCCTTAGTGTGGGGCATCAGGACGACCGAGTTTGCTGGTCATGCCTCCGATGGGTCGCTGGGCCGCCTTGGGTCACCAGGGTCGTTTTTCATCAATATAACCTCATTCACTATGTGTGGGAGTTACTAAAACCCCGGGGTTTCCCGGTCGAGGTCATTTTTCTATGTGACCATTCCCTTTGAGATATTAGAGGTCAAATGTCAACATTTCAGAGTCATTTTCCAGGCCAAGCCTTGTACTCCGAGTTAGACTCGGAGGATCAGGTCCTTGACTAGTTCGCTATGAAGAGGGTCGCATGTGAACCAAAGACGACAGACAAAACCTCCAGAATCTTCTGCATGAATTTGAAAATTGGCTGAAATCATACTTTCAACGTTTGGAGCTCAGAAGACTCATGGAACGTGATGGCAGTTTACCGATGCATGGGCTTATTTCCCAGATCTTTCTTTAATTTCTCCTAGGGCTTATCCAGTTAGTCGGGGTTGGGTCAGGTGTTATAGGCCTAATGTGTCAAGGCCCAGGCCTAAAGGTAGCAGAGGCAATCTGGGCATCGCTCCAGTCTGTCAGTGTATGACATTTAACTGAATGCATGGTAGGGCCTTTTTCCTGGGCTACGTTTTTTCTTGCATAGGCTTTTTTCGCAGCTAGCCTTCCCCACCATTCTTCTTTTCCTTCATAGGCTCGAGTCTACCATGCATTTCAGTCGCGAGGCTGATCGAGCCAATCGATCGTTGGCTGTGGCACTGACGGACGGACTTAAGCCGTGATTGCCTCTGAGGCATTAGGTACTGTCTAACTGTTTAATTCCATAGGCCGTAGCACCTGGCAGTAGAAACTTTCTGGGTAGGGTTTGTTTAGACAGACTTGCGGCCTTAACCCCCTGATGACGCAGGCTGCCTGACAAATTTCTAGGATGAGATCCTTTGCTGTCCATTCATTTTTTAACTTCCTTTAGCTTCGCCCCATAAAGCCCAGCAATAACGTATTGAACGCCGCCTATTTCTCCTCTACCGTCAGCCCAAGGAGCCGCACCTCCCAGTCGATGTCTGAAACGCATTCGCGTAGTCTCTCGAAATTAGCCTCATTATAATTGTACGAAACCTTCCTCGTTTTGGCGTTACTCTTCGTCCGCTTGATATTCCACGTGATCGCGCAGTGGTCCGAATCTCCCAAGTTATCTTGTACCTAAACGTCTAAATTTAGTGCCAGATCGTCGTTCGTCGCAAATACTAAATCCAATAAAGCTTCCTCGCGAGTCGGTTCATTTACGTACTGAACGAGAAGAGCGTTCTGAACCCAACAAGAAATTCACTAACCCTTTCGCACCCCCGTCGCAGCACCGACCAATTTATGTGGGGCTTGTTAAAGTCTCCAAAGAGCAATACCTGCTTCGAGATCTCGCCGATCCTACACACGAGTGCAAAATAAGCTGCTTCATCCTCGAGAGAAGAGTTAGGGGGCCTATAGCAAATGCCAGCACGATCTTCCCAGTTGCCCCACCGATATTGCACAATATGGGTTCGATTGCTCCACAGTTACTCGTGGTGAGATCTTCTCTGACGCGAACGCCCAGTTCGGTTTTAGCGTACAACACGACTCCTCCCCTTTCTGCCGAACCTATCCTTCCGCAAGTTGTTGTACCCTTCGATCTGGAAATTCTCATCCGAAATGCGAGAACAACCCCAAGGCTCGGTTATTCCGATGACATCGAAACCATTGTCCATTGTCCTCCCCTTGAACTCGTCTATTTTATTACGTAAGCTGCGTGCATTCGCGTAGAAAGACATGACTATTCCCTGCCTTTCCTGGACACCAGTACGCGGCGGTCTATAGCTGCTCGTAGTGGCTGCCGCTTGCTTGTGATCCCTTCTTGCTTGTAATCCCTTGCTCCCCCATCTATAACCCAAAAAAGGCTCATTTTCCTTCATGATAGCCAATCCGACTGCTAGCCGGACGAATAGAGATTACTGAAATTCGGTGTAGAATGCTGATTTCGAGAAAAGTGTAGCTTAAGGGATTAATTAACTCAAGGTGAATTTTCTTGGGAAAGGCATGTTGGACAGCACCCTGGACATTGAGAACCCTTTTCCTGGATGTGGGGTGGGGCAAGAATTGAAAGGGGGTCTGAAGGCTGAGTAGGCGGAAAATGCCATGGGACATTTCTTTGGTTGAAGATAAGATTCTCGCTTAATTAAAGTTCCTAACTTAAACTTGCCAGTGACGTCATATCATCATAGCGCTAGGGGAGCACGTTTCAGACGCTTTTATTTACTCATTCGCATCATATCGCTGGCTTTGTGAGTTTCTTGGCTCGAAGGTCAAACAAACTCATTAATGCGATAATAATTAAGGAGCACTGTCGATAACCTAAAAAGGTGATGCATCATTAAGGTAAACCCTAGCAAGATAAACATAAAATAATTTTTTCCCTTATTGTTTTACCCGTGTTTCCGATAGCAGCTGTCATTTTGATGAACTAAAATTGTTGAATTAAGACTACTTATATTGCTATTGAGGAATGACAATTTATTTTTACGGTCATGAGTAGGAGTCTTGTACACCAGTGTTTCTCAACCTTTGTCGTGGCACAACGGTTGCAAAGCACATTGTACTCTATAATAACTAGGTTTGCCTCATAAAATCTCAGGGCAGCTAACACTTGTTAGTAAGAGGAAATCCATGGTCTGCAAGCATTTAAGCAGTCAGAATAACGAGAAAATTCCATTGCTAAGAAACATCACAAAAGTAACTGCTCCTTCTTTATGCACCTTTCAATATATATTTAAGCTAAAAGAAGCGTTATATGGACTGAATAATCTCAAATGAACGCCAATATTTATTGCGTATATACAGAATGGAATGCTAGAAAATTCCAAGTAAATGTAGCCCATCATATGACTTACCCAGTTCTTGATGTAATCAGTAATTGATGAATCCTTTTTGTTTGACTGTTTTGAAGGGCCGCCTATAGCAGGGGAGTTTTGTGGCTTCACCATGCCTGGATCTGCTTCATCCTTTGATGAGAATACAGTATGTAACGAACTCGAAGTGACGGGCTAAAGTATCGTTATAAAGAAAATTCTTTAAACAATTTCTCGTACATTACTGGAAAGAAAGAAATCTGTTAAACTATTTTCAATATAACTTTATAAATGTCACTTTGCGTTGAAAAGCAAGTCGTTGTCTATTCATAAAATGAGTGGGAAGGTCGAAGCGCATGAAATATTGCTTTGAAATGAATGCTTTAGTTATTTGTAAAGAAAAAATCCTCCGTATTCAGATTTAGCAATGTTAAAATTGAATATTGAATTTTAAAATTGAATGCATTCATTTGTACATAAGAAATGCTTCAGCATTTCTTATGTGCGAAATAGTAATTCAAAGAAGATGAATGCACATGAACCCTTTTGCTGAGAATTGAAATGTAAATAAAGAATTAAGGAATAATGAACTTTCAGCCATCTCCGATTATTCCCATCTCAAGGCAGAAACTTTCGTATCATTCACCATAAATACAATGTACAAATCCTGCAGATTTTAGCTATTTCGGTGTGTTATTGACCCATCTATCTTCTGTTTCATGTCTTGAGGTTCAATATCATTCTAGGAGCGATTCCGTGCGCTCTCTATGGGAACGGACGTCTCGCACATGCTAGAACTATCTACGAAATTCAAAGATGAGATTTTCAAATGCGTCCGCATCATACGTTCACACGGTGAATGCGGGCTAACATTCAAGAAAAGGAATAATATGTTCCGTGATCCCTCCATATACCGGATGAGGAAAAAAATATTACCACAATTTTAAATGTTGTGACACTTCTTAAACAGTGACCAGAACAACGAACTTTATTTTATACCCATCTTTATACATCCTTCGAGCATCAGAATATGTTTATTCACTTATCTCCAGCAGTTTTGGCACACGAGTGATTTTACAAAGTTATCTGGACTTTTATTTTGGCAGTCGCACCTGGACGCTAGCGAGAGGACATTCAAGAGGATTTACAATTATTTCCAAGGTTTTCCCTCTGCACTTCATATTGATAATTCACTATGAATATCTCTGACTCGTTATTAAGTCTGAAAATTTGCAGATGGACATTTTATCAATATATCCCGGGATTATCATCCTGAGAAATAATTATCAATACGCCTTCCTCATGAACGCAGTTGCAGCTAGATGTAGTCTTCCGCACTTTCGCTTCATGATTTATTAAAGAACAAAGTTATCTGAATATTTTAAGGACACCGTGCATATCTGCAGCCTGCATGCACCTGGAAAATCATCGTGACCCACCGGTTGAGAACCACTGTTTTAAATAATATGTAAACGTTGTAGAAGCATTTCTTTCGCATGCTATCTGCTATTTCATGAACTCCAAGTATTCTGAAAGAGCAGCGCATATTTTTGCCTCACCCGGTAATTGGATCAGTTACTTTTATCGAGATGTCGTTTGGGACGTCGTGATAAACAGTCATCATAAAGGATTGATGACAAATTCTCAGTCAATGCTCTATATTATTGTAATAGCTCCAAAACTGAAATGCAGTATCCAGAATGTGACTATCATTAGGTAACATTTTAATATTACTACTGCAGGAGAGATATGTCTGCTGTAAGTAGACCTACTTTCTGTTGTCCCCCGAACTCCTTACTCCTTACATGCGTAATAGCTTGGGAAATGCAAGCTTGGGTTTCTTCTTTTAAAGTTAATGTGAAAGAAGAAACTTATGTAATGGTGAAACCTTTCTATCCCTAATAAGTCGAGGAACATGCCCATTCAATTTTAATGATGCATGCAAGACTTGGATGCGGGGTGAAATTAAGTGCGATATCGCTTTGCTTCAGTCCAAACGAGGGTCGGTTAAATGAATTTGTTGTCAGCCCAAAATGAGGAGAAAAAATGCCTGTCTGAAAAATGTAAATATGTGCAATATTCAGAAAGAAATCCATACTCACTTCAGAATCACTAATGAAAACGTTGCATTCAGATTGTCCCTTCATGGCATTCTATGTAACGATTTCATTGACTGTGAATCTAAATATTTACTTCAAACATGCAAATTCCTTTGTTATGCGGCCCGTTCCATGTGTACGTGCCATCATAGGAACGATGGATCCCTCATCAGGGAGAAATCAAGGTTGAAATGGTCGTTTCAAACAGTAAAATCATTTCATTATTTAGAGTCTGCTGAGCAATGCATTGGGACTGTGGACTTGAACGGGAACAATTCCCTTTTGCTACCATCCAAGCATCCACTTCTCGCGAAAATACAGAGATCAAGGTTCAGGCTATCCACATTACCAAAAAGCATATTCCAACAATGGCCCCTCCATCGCAACGTTGCCAGATCCTTGGTATTGGCAGTCATGCTAGGCCCACTCCTTGCTCCAGCTTGGCTCGGCATTTTTCGGCACTTCTTTAGTGGAGGCCATAAAAGGCATGAAAGCCATTCATGGTTTTAGGCTAGTTTCGCATTATTGGCGTAATATTGGCTACAGGTTGGCTTGCAATTAAATTTGGCAGATATCGGTTGAAGACAACATTGTTTTGCAAAATTGCCAATTGTGGCGAAGCAATGTGTCCCTAATAATGCACTGCCGGCATGTATTTCATATCGAACAGATGGGACGATCGAAAGTGCCTCAGTCGCACTTAAAAGTATCTGGGAAATTAAGTTCTAATCAACGCCACTAGATGTGAGCATGGTTTTCGCTTTCCAGACTTTGCCCCTGCACCCTTCTCTAGATTCGTCCTTCACAGCAGTACATAGTACCTCATTATAAATTTTCTCAATTTCTCATGAAAGCGATCAATCGAAGCTGTCATTTCTTCATCGATTACCTCCATACTTGAGATAGATTAATGGATTTTAGGAATTAATAAAGCTAATGCTGCCTGTAAAAACCTCTGATTGTATGGTACAATCATCATCTATCTGGAGTCTCAGAACTTTGCAAGCATGTCACAGTACCTGCGAATCGCCACCTCGTCAGGACGCTGGGACGGAACTAATGGTTTCAGATAGTGTTTGATACCAAGAATAAGACAGTGGAGCATCACCTCTGAAGGACCGATATTGGTACACTGGAATGGTGGAATAATATTGAATATGTACATTGAGTACCATTATTAAAAGAAAAGTATTTGGGCAATATCTGCCACGTGCAATAAACATACGATATATTCGGCCTTTCTTGGCATCCAAAGAAAGCCCCAGACCCTTTCCCAATATTTGGCCATTCTTGACAAAATTCATTGGAAACCCATAGGCCAACAAGACATTGCGGGATTGGCCAACGTTGGCGACCACGGGTCGACCAAGCACTTTGTCGATGAAATGCCATGTTTGCCCGAATTTAGAATTGGCGATGTTCTAGTAGCTGCGAACTCTATATGCATCTTGTTCGGACAAGGGGATGGGACTGTTTTGAGAATTTTGGTACGCTTGATTGATGACTTAGCTTATCTGAAGTACTATAATAAGTGCAATGACTACCAATAGTGAAAAATTAATAATTTGTCAATTTCTGACACGTGCGATATACATGGTGGGCCAATATTTGTCGCTTCATTTCCTTTGGGAATAACTTTTGAACGGTTCAATGAAAAAAAATTCTCTAAAAAAAAATTAAAAAATGGGAAAATTTTCTTTTGTGGAAATTTGTAAGGTAACTCAACAGTGGTAAAATTATGTATTTCAGGTGCCCACCATTGACCGCTTCGCAGAGTCCCAATCTTGTTACCAAATTGTCCATGACATTTTCTAAAGTATCCGTTGTAAGCTGTCCGATTTCATATCTGATGTTGGTTTTAAGTTCCTGCATTATTGCAGTTTTGTTGGCGTACACTCGCTCCTTCCAAGAAAAGAAAAAGAAAAACGCAAGAAAAAATCAGGATCACTTAAATCCGGTGACCGCGCGGGCCAATTGATATTGCCAAACAGCTAAACCTTGAAGATCATCGTCTTTCCTTCCATGACAACAGAGTATTTCCTTTCCCCCGGTATGCAGCAGGTTTTTACCTGCCACTAGTTTGCAATATTAGAATGCTGAAATGCATGCTCCGTGTGTTGCATGGAGAACAATAAAGCAATAACCAATTTCTTTCCATGTTCACTGTAACATGTCCACATCAGCATTCCTTAATGTATCGCGAATTATGTTCATCAACTTCTCAATGTTAACTTTTGTACGGTATACTTGGATTTCTTCCTAGGGTATTATGTGAAAGATGAAGTATACCGTGCAAAAGTGAACAGCATTGAGGACATTGAGGAGTTGAAGAAAAGAATTAGCGATGCGTATCGTCCATGAGTAACGGTGATGGACGATAAGACATGCGATAAAATAATACGATAAAATAATACGATAAAATAATACGATAAAATAATACGATAAGAGATGTGGACGTGTTACATCGAACACGGCAAGAAATTGGTTATCGCTTTGACGTTCTTCATACAGCACACGGAGCGCACATTTCTGTATTCCAATATAGTAGAAAAAAAGGTTTTCAGATGCATTTTATGATGCAATAATTCTTTTGGCTAATTTTAATATTTAATTTCAAAGTTGTACAGGGTTTTGTGGGACACCCTGCATATCTTGAGTCATTCTCCGCATCCAAGAAAACCCCAAACACGTTGCCAATATTGGGCCATTCTTGCCCCATTTCTTTGGAAACCGATTGGCCAAAGAAACATTTCAGGGTTGGCCAATCGTTGGCGACCAAGGGGGGGTCCAAGCAATTTGCCGATAATATGCCATACTTGACCCAATGAACATTGGCTCTCTGGGGCCAGTTCTAACAACTTCGGATCTATATTTTCATAATAATTCAGCGGCTGCGCATATTTTTTTGCAAGAGTAAGCGATGAAATACTGTATAATCACGAAATGCATGAATTTACCTTCAATATTTTAGAGCCGTCTGGGTAGAAATTCTCTTTTCCTGCTAAGGATCGCGAATCAGCATTGTGAGGACCGATGTTCGTAAGCTTTCTTGGGTAATCCGCCATCTAGGCACAAATAATTCCGGTGAAACATGGTATTCCAGGTTCCACTATTTGACTGACACCATAACCATCTTATGAGTAACCTGTGGGTTGATATTAGTCCCTCTTTCGGTGAACGACTTAAGGGGTGCTGTGAATGCTATCGGTGGCGCGTCGTCAGCCTCTGAATTAACTTCATCAGTGCGGAGCCTATTATCTGAACTTGAAGGGCGGTCTTGTGCGCCGTGTTTTATCGTTCCTACTTGTTTTCTTGGACGAGCCACAGGAGGATGTTCAATCGGAGAGGAAATCGATCTTGTGGGAGGAGCATCAGGATTCCTTTCACCAATGGTCTGGAAAGAAGAATAAGCTAGCATCAATATGAGAAAATACATAGATAAGTTACTACATTTGTCTATAGTTCTTATTGTGATTCTGTTTCTATAAAATTTATCTCGCTATGCAAAGTAAACTGTGACTAGCGAACTTCTACTGAAGCACATATATTTTTTGTGTCACGGTTCATCAATTTGGAATAGTCTTAGCCAGATTCCCACTTGCTAAATTTGATCTTCAGTTGACGATGGAAAATATATGTATCAAAGAGATGCTGGTGCACAGCGTGCTACACATTTCAGTATGCGCAAATATAACCGAAATTAGCTCGACTTGCGTGAAGTAAACAAATATTATAGGAACCAAGAAAGAGAAACGCGACACATGGAATGAAACGAACGAGTTTTATTTCATAATGAACCTGAATGAATGAATGTCCTTGGCGATGGATTTGACAATCCAATAAGTACGTCTTCAAAAATGATATATTGTCGGTAACGGTGCCAGCTTCATTTTTGGCTTGCATTTGTCTTCATTGATGAATTGAATCTTCATCACATTCTGAAAGCGAACTAGCGAGCAGGCAACGTTCAATTTTCAATGCGTTTATACTGGCTATTGTAAGCCTAGTCCAACTCGATCGAATATCTGTCCCTGAGACGTGTTCATAGTCATACCGAAGGCATAATCGACGGGAAATGGATGTCTACAATGTTCAAACGATATGCTGACGTCAGATGACGTGTCCAGTGAAACTCTTATTAGTAAATGAACGCTACCACGAACCACACACGATCACCTCAACTTGTGACATATTATAAATCATGTCTCTCACTGCCATTCGTCTGCCGTTGCAAAGGGTGTTCCGAATCGAGAGATTCCGTAGAATAATTACGATAGCTCCAACTTGTATGTTTTTAGGGGTTGGAATTATGACTTAATCATAATGGAATAATTATCAGCACTCCTGCCACCAGTCGTCTGGAAAGAATAATACAAGTTATGTCATCGTTCTTCATGAATACACATATATGTATCACATACTAGGTTGTCCCAAAAATTTTGGGGCAGAAAAATCAATTTTTATGCGCGAATTCAAATAAAAATCAACAACTATTCTTCAAAATAAAGGCCGTCGTTCTCAACGATCTTCTGCCATCGATCTGCAAGCATCCGGATCTGCTTGAAGTACCATTCTTTGGGCTTCGAATAAAAAATTTCCTGACACGCTTCCTCGACTTGATCAAAAGATTCAAAGCGCCGTCCTAGCAGAAAGCGTTCCATAGATCGTAACAGGCCGAAGTCGGATGGAGCAGTATCAGAACTGTAGGCGGGATGCGGCAGAACTTCAACTCCTTCCAACTCCTCGAACTTCTCCTGCGTCATTCTTGCGCGGTGAGCCGGGGTGTTGTCCTGCTGAAACAAAGCTCGCTTGCGTCGAATCAAGACCGGGCACATCTCCTTCAGCACGTTGTAGACTCGGTGCAGTTGCTCGGTGTACAGCTGGGCGTCGAACCAGCTCAAAGTAGACCACGCCTTCAAAGTTCCACCAAACCGAAAGCATCACCTTTTTGCCAAAACGATCCCGTCGAACTGTTGGCTGTGCTTCTTGACCTCGTGGGAACCACTGCTTTTGCTTGTTGTGGTTGACCAAATAGACTCTCGTCAGACGTCACAATGCGCTTCCAAAATCGATCGTCCAATGGGTCGACAAATCTCGACTAGCTTCCGGGGCCTGTGCTTCATGAGCCAGTTCATGAGGATCCTGCCGGGGCTATTTGTGCACAAAGTCGAGCTGTTGCAGATGACGATGAACTGTTGACTTGCCAACTCCAAGAACCGCCTCCAAGTCTCGAGTGCTTGACGATGGCTCGTCTTCCAAAGCGGAACGCAATGCATCCTCGTCAAATGTTGATGGTCGGCCGAAATGAGGCTTGTATTCGAGGCTGAGGTCGCCGTCGTTGAAGTTTTTGAACCAGCGTGCGGCGGCCGACTTTCATGTTGTTCCTTCTCCTTCGACGTCGCAGATTTCCTTGGAAGCAGCTCTTGTGGAAAGTCCTTTCTTCCAGTAGTGACGCAGCAAGACACGAACCTCGATAGTATCGCCCGACATTTGATTTTTCCACAGCTGCCCCAGAATTTTTGGGACAACGTAGTATATGTGTACAGATAATCTATTTAAAGTCACCACCCAATTTTGATCGGCTATAGCTTTTCAAGGGTTTCGGGTTCAGCTAATTTATGACACAGGCCCATGATCCTCGGAGGTTTTCTCCCATTCTGCGCTGCATGCCTTTAGTGGGCGCTTTTTCGACCGCAGTACCCCATATTTACGTGCCATGCCATATTTCAGATAATAATAAAAATCGTTATAGGCCAATGAGCCAATCTGCTAAATATCCCCTGCATCCGATAGTCCATTCAATATGTATTATCCAACAATTATGGATGTTGACTTGTAACCACCCGGCTTTATGTGGTCATTAATTTTTAAGGCGGGACAATTGTACCGTGCATTTTTATTCAGGGACCCTAGAGGTCCTTTTACAACTGTTATCGTTGGAAAGAAGGTTAACGTTTATGTTCTTTGGGGTAGAGAGCGTTAGGGCTGACTTAGCCTCTCTCCGTGTCAGCTTTTCAGTGGGGTTGGTCCGTAATGACATGGCGAGGAATATGTCTCTTGCCTCTGGCCCGACCTACCCCCTTTCAGTCTCCCTTCCCAGGGGGTTGGTTTTTTACCACCTCCCTAGATTCATGCGGCACACTGTCCTTTAGTGTCGATGAAAAATTCAGGTAATAAAATGAGCATACCCATCCTTCGTATTCCAGATGGTGATAGAGCATTTATCAACCAATTTCAGGAGGAAGTGACTCCGAAGATGACTTCATATGAAAAAGGGCGAACTTTCTTGCCCTACACTGTATTGTCATATGGAGCATTGAAACCCTAAGCTGAATATTGAGGTTCTCATAAATAATTAAAATCTCCAACTACCTGTTTCTTGACTGGAATAGGATTAGAATTGGAATAGAATTCCGTCAAATTGAAGGAAATGTTGCAGATTCTACTACTATTCTTTATGCTACAATGGTGCTTAAAAATAATTCAGCTCTAGACTAATTTCAAGACCCTGAGAGGATAGGTCGGAGACCATTCCATGCATTTTTTAAGTCATTGCACAATGTGTGAATCTAACAAGAAACTTTTAGCATGGAGCTTCAGGAACGTAGGTGATATGTGAAGCCTTTGAGAGAGGCCTACGAGTGAGTAAGACTTGAGAAAGTGTCATGTTTCGAATGATCACACTTACCCCAATGCCCAATTTTACTGAGTGAGATCAGCATTCCTATGCCTGAGCATAGTATGTGGATGTAAGGAAATCCGCTTGGGACTAGTTGGAAAGAGTATAGAATCTACTTTATAAATTAGGATCGATCACACTTACCCTGAATGACCTTATATTAGATAAGGTATTTTTCGGCAGAGTGTCAGAGGCCTAACCTGAATTCACACAATGGAGGTTCTGCATTTCCATAAATGCCAACCACTTGCAGATGGGGCAATGTTGTCCCGACCCCAACAAAGGAGCTCCTTTGGGAGCTCCTTACTGGATCAGCTAGGCTATATGTTATGGTCTAGAATGCATTCTGTTGCTAACGCACATGAAAGCTCGTCTCGATATTGCTCTTACGTGCAAGGCTCGTGTTAACCATTTGAAACGCGTCATTTGGTTAAACGAGAGCAACTACCTGATAAGGAACCAAGGGACAATAACGGTACTGCCAACTACCTGAATCATCTAACCAACCTCAGAATGTCCAACCCATCGTCAAATGTAGTGGTGGGTGTCTGGTGGTTTGGGAACGCATGACAGCCAAGGGATATGGAAATATGAGTCTAATAATTACTGGACGCAATACCCACCCCCACTATCGCATCCTCGAAGACGATCTCAAGAGAGCCATCAACTACTGCCAACTTCATATGGAATAAGTCATCCTCCAATTAGAGAATGACCCAATGCAGACAACTATAATTTCTTGGAAGTGGTTCAGATACAAAGCCATCAAACTCGCGGATTACACTTCACAATCGACTGACTCCAATAAGACCTCAGATCCTTTGAAGGGGTTTCTGGACGTTTATGGGTCTTTGAGCACGCACGAGTTTGGTTGGGATTCCAAGTCGAAGAAGTGGTATTCACAGATCAGAATGTGTCAAGCCATTTCAAAGCATGCTGATAATAATTTTTCTGCACTGAAGGCAAAGGAAAGTATAGAGTAGAGTATATTTGGGGTAATTTTGAAGAAAATATAAAAAATGTTTCCAAATGGATACGTTTCATTCAGTATTCTATTCCTCAGCATGTAAAAAACAAGGTAGCTATCAGCTTGTGTCAAACAAATAGTAAAAGGCGTTGGTGTCCGAGGATGGTGTTGCGTTTCAGATACCTTATCTTGTTAGTGAATTATGCCAGCAAAGAGTTAGTAGACGAAGCATTGGGACAGTTTATCTTTTCACCATATCTTGGTAGGGCATTAGAGAACTGCGTGGCTGAGTTGAGGGTGCATTAGATCTGGGGAGATATATGCATATGGTCCTTTAAACAACTATCCAAAAAGTAAATCTTTCTTGCCCAAGAATCACTCTCGTGCAATGCACATATTGTAATATCTGCTATCATCAGCGACTCTATACTAAAAAGTTAATCCTCATATTAGGTCAGTAATTGGTAATTAATAATTTTAATCGCAATACATTGAGTGCATATTTGATGGGATATAACCATGAAAATTAAACTGTGAAAAGCTAAATTGCTTGTCCATGCTCACACAATCATACAAAAAATCATACTCTCACACAATACGGGATTCATTTTTTAAAAGCATCACAAGAGCAGCTCCATTTGAGAGGGCAATATGAATTGCCCAATATTTCCCCTTTCATTAACATCCATACCATGCGTGCAAGCAAAATCCGTATCGTATAGTTTATGATTGCATATTTTTATGGTTTCCCTCCACCATCATGTGCCGCCCTCAAAGACAAGTCCATTATTGAATTGTTTTCCATCACCCATGTTGTATTTGGCCAGATATTAATGGAAATGAAGGAAATATTAGCTCTAGAAAGAATACATGTGTACGTGAACAATAAGGATGATTATTATCTATATAATCCGCACAATGCATTGAATATTAGGTTTTTATTAGAGAAAAATAAGGAAAATAATTAGCAAATGTTGCATGGTGCAGGAAAGTTTGAGCGGAAAGGCTCCGGGAAATTAAACATAAAAAAAAATAATATTTAGGAATTTCACCGGAAAAATTAGCACCTCTTTTAAAGTGGAACCAATATGTAAAACAGAAATTGAATAAAGGCGCATATGTCACCGACAAATATCCCTCATCAATAAATGAAAATGAATGTTGTGCCATTATGTTCGCGAAACCTGCAATTTTTTTGCAACATTGGAGAATTCTGTATGTCATTTTCCCCATTTCCGTCAATAGGAAACGCTGTCAATGAAGATTTAATTCACCTTATTGTAAATATCGCCTCGAATATTCATCAGACAGATTTTTCTTGAAATTTTTATCAATAGAGGTGACTTACTTGAGCATAGAAAACATGCCTTTCTTGCGGATCGTTGCCAGTGGACTCGTCATTAGTGACATGATGATGCTGAGCCTTCTGAAATTCGTCGAATGATGAGAAAATAGCTAAATTGTTGGCGACCTTTTCCTCTCCCTGGAAACGAGTTCCGTCCTCTCGAGTTCTTTCCAGTCCCTCATCCATACGAATTTCTTGTAGAATTTGGATCCTCTCTTCCCAGCCAGGCTTCATTTGAAACTTTTCTGATGCCGTTAACATGTCAATATAGTCTGTGATGGTCATGGGACTCTCTTTCAAGGCAATCTCATCCAATATGGAGAGTTTCTGATGGGCTTCCCTTAAAACATCCATGACCTCTGATCGGACTTCTGCGCACTTCCGCTTGGAGGCTTCCACTAATTTCTCCGCAGTCAATTTTCCATGAATTCCGTTCCCATATGCCAGTTTTAGATCTTCCAGGGTCTTCTTTTCAGTACTAACATACGTCTCATATCGATACTGACTGCTCACATGTTTCTTCCAGTGACACTTGAAAGGACACACTGTGCAATCACCTGTACTGGGGTCCACCACGTCACAATCCCCTTTCCGCTCCTTCGACTCCACGCATGGATAGTGACATGTAAAATTGCAATTGAGGCAATTCGTGACATACTCCCCCTCCATCAGTTTAATCCTCCTTTGCTTCGTCACCTGTGCGTCGTAAATGAAGTTTTTGTTGGCATTTACTTCTGCCTTTCTTTGTTCCACCATGGCTGTTTCCTTTCTGATAGCATTCAGTGTGTTCAGTTCTGTGGAATAAAAATGAGCACATGTATTTTCGAGTGGATATCTTGCGCGAAAGAACATTGCTCATTTAATAAACCATTTTAAAATTCTGAAGATTCCACATTTTTGCTTCATTCGGATCACTAACATTATAGCCGCATTTCTAGCCACATTCCTGTGATATTTTCTCACCTAAAGATATCGAGTGAATATGTAGCAAAAAAAAAAACTCACGTTGACACTTTTTTCAGCTGGAACCCTACATTCACGAAAAAATTATATGTTATATGTAAACGAAACTTCAGCTATTACACAATGCGGATCATTATGCATGCCTTTTGAAAAAACCCACCTCATCTCTCAAATACCCTTCATCTCCATCTTGGCGAGATACAAGTACTACGTTAGCATGGTGTTTCTTTCTGCTATCCAGTCTAAAAATCGTTATCCCTGTCATGACCAGACTCGTTGAATGCTTCTTAATAGTCCTACTACTTCCATACCGTTAGGAACAAATTAATTATCGCTAGATAATTAACTTGTTTAGATACAAGGATATCTATCTTCATTTCAGTCGTTGTCTCTATTTCATGTCGTTAAGACTCTCCATCTCACGAATACGTGGTCACAAAACCTCAGCAAGTGCGGTGCAATGGTATTTGGCCTGCTCTCATAGTTGCTTAGAATTAATTATTTGTTCAATATTAGCAGGATAGTCAGTGAATAATAAACAATGATGCTGTCATATGTCACAAGGCAACAATGACCACCACCATCACACCACGAATGACCTTGCGCATGGCTTATTGTCCTCTGAACGCCATCTCATTCCTGGCTATTATCATGACTGATGAGATAGGCAGGAGATACGTTTTCAATGTAAAAAAAATACGCAAGTTTCCCAAATTAGATTTTGAGTAATAACACTTGAATTGTTTTGAACGTCTCCTTACTACTACTCTTGAAACGTTTTATTGACTCGTTTTGGAAAAGAAGTGTTCATGGCTGAGGTGAGGTAAGCTTTAGGTTACCTACCACGCCAGGTGTCATGTTAGCTATTGATATAGAAGATATCCATCGGATATCTTCTCATTAATAGAAAGCAGGGTGCCTTGGAATGGAACTTGTTGCAGAAAGTCAAGAAAAAAGACTTCAACTGACCGTCTTGAATTCGAGTCTGTATCCCCTGGATAGTCGCTTCAAGAGCTTGCCCCTCTCTCAGGACTTGGTTGCTCAGCTGTACACTTACAGGTTTGGATTTCTGGAACTTGAGGAAGAAGTCTGAAAAATTTTTCTTTCCAAGTTTCCAAAACATGGAACTAAACTGATTATCCCTAGATTTGCTCTCCTCATTGGGTGCGAACAAAGCTGAATTGTTGAAACAAAAGTAATCCACAAAAGGTACTTTCCCTTCTGTTACTGCTTGGAGAACTGGAGGAGTCTTGCTGTCAGCGAATGTAATCATTAGGTAAATGTTGTTGACGACATCACTTCCAAAGACAGATAGAATAGAGTCGAATATATATTTATCAGTTGGGGTCAACCTGGCGTTGGAGGACTGAAGCACGAAGCCAATGCCATTAATGTGACTCAGACCTTCTGCTTTTTTTTTGGCGAATAAGTTATGTAGTTGGGTCATGGTGCTGTTGTCATCCATTAATCCCTTAGTATCACAAAATCCGGGAGTGTCTACTACAGTGAGGTTGTAGGGTGCTTCGCATCCCTCTTGCCAGGGAAAGGTGTAGGCTGTGATCCAGGACGTCTGACTCTGGGCCTTGGGTTTTTCATTTTCAGTGTCTGGGATCAATTCCAGGCGGAAGGGGTCCTCCCACTGCACTCCGTAAAACTGATTGAAAAGTGCGTTCACCAGAGTGCTCTTACCTATAAGAAAAGGTTCCTAATATAACCTTGACTTTTTTGTGATTTTTCTCTGAAATAAATCGTTACCGTACCTGCTCCAGTGGCACCAAGGAGAATGATAACTTTTTCTTCCCTCTCCTCATGTGTTATTTCAAAATGAATTTCACGCTTGGCCGTCCGGCTGTCTGGATCTCTCATTACGTCCAATGCGAGGATTTGATACAAAGAAGGTTCTCCAGGTCGACTGAGATTTCCATTTGCCTTTAAGTACTCTGCTGGCTTTACTGCTCTGGGAGGGGAGATACATGCAGCCTCAACTTTTCCTTTGTCTTGGTGATCAGACATTGCATGTTGATGTAGAAACCCATTAGATATAACTCCGGTCAAGACGGAAGGTTGAAGATAGTTGGACATAGGTAGGAAATCGCTTCGGTACATACTCAGCTGTTGCATTTGGGGTATGAGATAATCCCAGCTGGTAACAGGACTGCAAGGTCCAATTCCAAGAAAACTGGAAGCGCTCACCTGCACAAGGCAATCGGTTGATATATTGAGTTAATTTAATTGTTCCGGCAAATATGTCAAGCTAGTAAAGACAGAATGAACTCACCTTGAATAAATACCTTCGTCCAGGAACTGGCAATGGGAATCTGCTTGGCGACGAAGGATGTAGGATATATTTCCAACTCTCTGGCGGATCGCTCTCAGCCTTGGACCAGACGAGGAACCCACTGAGGTAGTTCCCTCCAATGAATGGCCATTTCCAATGCACTTCAATGCCAGTTCCATCAGGCGAAACCTGAACCCTTACATCAAAAGGCTCTCCTGGAGGGATAAATACTTGTGAAGTAGTTCCTCTAGATTCTCTTAGCACGATCGTCCAGGCTTCGACTTCAGCCCCTTCTGCCGCAACAAATTGTATAGCAGGGTTCCCACGAGCTCTTGCATAATAGAGAAATAGGCGTTGGTATTCGAACAATTGTTGCAGTTGTCCGGGAGACCCATATACCGAAGGCACTGGTATGGAGAGGGCTGCTTCTTGGCTGAACCCCAGACACTTTTTCAGGCTAGCAAGGAAGGGATCTGCATAATCAGATGCTCTAAAGAAGAAGCAAATTACGGGCGCGCCTTCGTTGCCTTGGAATGCAAGTGATGCATTTCGAATTTCTACACCCGCCTCCAAGAAATTTTGCACAAGAATATCAGCATTTCTGGCTTCGATATCCTTCGTCCTCAACCAAGCTTGAAGCTGATTGGAATTGAATAGAGGACTGTAGAACGTGGCTGCGAGGGATGAGTCTTGACCCAGGCGTTGCAGTGCTTCTTCTATGACGCCTTCAAAAGCTGTGATGGACTGGGTTGCTGCTTTGAATCTGATACTTTCTCGGATGTTCCTCGCTATGGCCACGATTTCACGCAACTGTGTGACTAGATCTCCCATCTTACAAATGCAACACGACCTGCATATGGAATATTTTTTTAAAGCAATAAGTAGCATTACTCCCCCCCTGAGACTTAAAAGCTGATACAAATATGAATGCTGCTGTAAACCAATATTTTAAAATACTCCTGGTCTTTCCCTTTCCTTGAAGCGCTACAACAATTAAGGTGGAGTTCAAATTGAACCTAAACACTTTCAATCCTTTCTTTAGTCGTTTCGTCATTTGCCAACATTAACAAGTTATACTACAGACACTGTTGCACATAACTTTTTCTTTATTATCATGTTCATATTTACAGACATCACAATAATCAAAGCAAAAATAGACACTATGCCCTCCAACATGTTTTCTTCCGGCATGATATCCACTGATGACCATAGGTAGGCCTCTCAATCACCACTTTCTCAGATTTAAATAGAACACATTTTTATTGTAATTGTTAAGCCACTCTAGTGCAATCGTGGGAGAACACGCGTACCTCCGGAGCAACCACAATACTTCATCGGAACGTTACTCCGACTTTAGCTCCCGAACAAGTTTGTCAAACGCGATCGTGTCAGGTAAAGCTCATATATTAGATGCAACATGAATTTTGTTCATGTCCAGGCGGAGTGTGAAGGACAATAGGTTCCATGCACGAGGCGGTGGCTATTTTATTATTTCCGTAATAAATAATGATTCAATGTACAATGTTCTCTCATTATTTGGTGGTATTTGGCGGTATTTTTCTCGAATGTTTTCATTTTTCTGGTTCCTGCGCGTGGGAGTCATTGCTTTGCGATATGCAAGTTACCGTAAAAAGTCGTATTCATTTACAAACTTGAAACTTGTAATGAATGAACCTATCAATGCTCTATATTTTCTCGGTATTTGGAGATTTTCACACAATCTTAAAAGTATAATATAAAATACTTGGTGATAGAAAAGTCAGGCGGCCTTTGTATGTCTTATGAACATTGTGTACACCCAACTTCGTTATGTGAACGAAACTACTACAGAGCCTTCAAAATATAGTTATGGGTGTTACAAATGTGTAAGTGTTCCGGAATCATCCAGTGACCATGCTTTTGTCCCTTGCACCTGCCAAGGGCGTCTCACAGAGCCGTCGACAATGCATCCTTCCTTCGTTTACGGGTCTATGGGAGAAGCTTGTGAACTTTACGTTTCCTGCGTGTCCCAAGGCACGGATATTCATGAAAGATTTAATGGAGGCATCCGAGGCTTTTTCCCAGCTTCCTTGCCATCGTCCTATGGGACTTTAGATTTTTGCCAATGACCATATCAGGACATTCTTGATCATTTGTTTGATCTGGCATATTGACTGGATCAGGATGGCAAATATGAGCTGCCAGCCCCTTCTCACCAATGTTGCCAATCACATTGGCTATCAATCCAACTGAATTGGATGGATGACAATTTTGGCTTCTTTCATCAAAGGGTTTCATTGCAGAATGAATTCTTTCACAGGTCCTGAAAGTCATTTGCAAAAAGTAAGCTCAATAATGGTGCTAGATCGATTGTTTCATTTGAAGGCAAGAATGCCGTTACATGAGAGGAAAGTGTTCAATTCAGGCATGAATAGGTCTCGTATTTACGTCTTGTGCACCTTCGACCGGATGTTTCAGCGGTGTCACACTGGAACGAAATAGTCCTGCTAAAGAATTTCTTACTTCGACTTTTGCCTAGTAACACGGGAAAGCCATTGCAGGCGATGCATATGCAACCTACTTTACCTATCTCAGACACGTTTGCATAATGTAACAATTAAGAACGGGTGTAAACAGTTGAAAGTAAACAGCTGGACGAGAAAAGCGCAGTATTCAAGTTCATCCTCAATAAGAGCATCATCTGTGGATATCATGATATAATCATAATTGCCAGAAGCAATGAAACTGATACGTACTCTTATTACATGACATGCGCATATCTGGTCATTTGATTCCATGATTTCTGCAACTCTTACCTAAGCAGAATGTTTCATTGATTGTCCTGTTAAAAATGGGAACGTGTCAATATCACATGCCATTGTTGCTGCTCATCTATTCGTATGCAACAAAAGAGCAAACTGTCTCTTTTTTGGATGTATGGACACGGATAATTTACGCTCACCTCTTAGGAGTCCTGAACGAAGCACATGAACTCGGCCATAAACAACTTTTCTTATTCCCACGTACTCAGTCCATGAATGTGATATGGAACTGTGGGGGGGACACGCATGATGTGACTCGCTGGGGAGGAAAGCCCCTGTAGTGCTCAGATAAGATTATGCATGCCTCTTTGCTAGCATTCGGCGTATCGGAACTGAGGAGAGGGCACAGATGATGAAAGCCCTGTTCCACGGGTAAGGCTTCGGCATGCGAAGGTACATTTTCTTTCACTTATAAAATGTCTCTACGCGTTGGTTCTTGTGAGCGGTGGCTTTTAGCTCCTCAACTGTATTTGCCACGTAGACACGACCAGAACTGGGTGCAAGATTGTGGTCGGACTTGGCCACTACTTCATTTCTTGCGTACATCCTACCCTTACAGCTTCGGAACTCACATTGCCATGTTATCTTCCTCTGGTGGTTGGAGATTGAGGTTATAACCGTAACCTCCAACCACCACCTTCCCCCCTTGTATACGGAACTCATTCACGTTAGGCCTATGCCTAACCGACGTACGGTATTCAGGTCAGGTTTTTTACCGCTCAAAAGAAACTCAATCGTCGATATACGGATCATTTAGGCCTAAAAGGATTAACCGTAGGTCTTCGAGACACCTCGTTGAGGACGTGTAACGTTAGGGCAATGACACCCCCAGAGTTCTTTGACACTCAGCACGAACATATTCCTCGTGTCGTGGATGCGCACGATCGGTAGTTTCCCCATTATTGAATTTTCCCTTTGAGGAACATCCTTTCTGGGAAAGTTTTTCCGCCAAGGTTTCTATTTTTCCTTGGTTAATTTTGACCGACTCTCCCATAGATATTGATAGAGATACCGATCTTCGATGCAATGATCAGAACGCCACTTTAAACTAGAGCAGGTCTTGGAAGGAGTATGTGCTAGCTGTCGCTAGCGAGCCCCGTTGATTAGTAGGCGTACATGAAACAAAAACTTGAATTCCCAACTCGGAATGAAATTGCCAAGGAAGCCTCAAGTGATCCTAGATTCAGAATTGGAGAGAGGAGTTCAAGTTTCCTGGCTCGGGGTGTCTTAAAAGACATCAGGCCCCGTCAATGATGTCCTCACCGTCCCTAGGGAGGCCCCCTACACTCTTAGAAAATTCCGAGCGCTTGGGGAGTAAAATGTGAGCACATCGTTAGCTTTTCGAATTTACTCTCTTATTGCTCGCCAAATGCTCCCTCATCGCTCATATTGAAGTGAACACCTTGA